CGCCCCTTTGTCTCTCATTGCCCATGATATATACACAAAATCAACCATTAAGTAAGCCACAGCCCTTTGAACCTTTACCCCAACCCCACCTACATCTAAACTAAGAGCTCTCAAAACCGACAACCCTTTCCCCCCCACATACCGGATTACTTTCCCTAACCATTCCCGCACAATCCCTAGGCTTTCACAAAAATAAACTACATGAAAAGCTGATTCATCTACCCCACAAACCTGACACATCCCACCCTCCCTTATTCGCCTATTTCGTAAAACAACCCCAGACGGCAATATTCCGTGAAGAAACCTATACATTACCTCCCTCACGTGTGGCCGGATGCGTAACCCTTTTAATCGGCCCCAAATGTCTTCCCATGCGTACATCGGGTACACTCCTTCCGTTGCCACTACACCCTAGGCCATATCTTCCTCTCCATGGACCCTACCCGCATGTTTCTCGGCTCTCTGACCATCATCAATAGACGCAACAAACTCCTCACCATCCTCAAATCTTGTCCTTCCACCATCTCCGAAATCTCCCTGCAGCATCCCCAACCCTCCACTCCCTTCCCCCCGAGCCCTTAGCAACCCATGTTCACATATACACACTTCAACCTTCTTTCCAAATGAATTAACCCCAGCCCTCCCAAGGCCACCGGAAGTGTTACCACCTCTCTTTTCAACCAATCGCATCCTGAACCCCAGATAAAACGGAAAACTCTGCCAACAATCTCCGGACATCCCCATACACCAAAGGGTACAAAGCTGCCACATGCCATATTTTACTGTACAAAAGCACATTGACCACAATGACCCTCTGGTGTAGCGTAAGATGTGTCGGCCTCAATCCTGACAATCTTCCCAATAACCCTATCTACCACACCCTTGAATTATTCTCCCTCGCCATCTGAGCATTACCCATATACACAACTCCACAAATTTTCACCCGTCCACGACACTCCACCTCAACCCCCCCCCCCACACCCCGCCCTCCTGCGCATCCCATTCACCCAATATCATGAGCTTTGATTTATGCACATTCACTGCATACCTGTTGCCATCCCAAAAACATCTATAACTCTCTCCAGACCCTCCAATCCCTCCCTCCCACTCACTAGGACAGTTGTGTCATCAACGTAACCTATGATAACTGGGACTCCCACCTCGTATGTCCTCCCTTACCCCCTCCTGTATGCACATTTCCACTGCCCTATAAAACGGATTCTGTAAACATGCAAATAATATTTGTGACAACGGCAACCTTGCCTCAATCCCCTGCCCATTTTCACATGCAACCCCACCCTCCCATTTATCTGTACACACATCCCAGCTCCCCCGATATAAAGTACGTGCCCAATTCACAATGTCCTCCCCGAACCTTGCCACTCCATGATTCTCCACAGAGCCTCCTCTCGACACTGTCATAATGCCTTCTCCAATCCAACGCCAATACCCCACGTTCCCCCTCTTGTGGACCCTCAATAAACCTTCTAATAACCCCATGCCCCTCATACATTGATCTCCCCCGGAATCCCATATTGACCCCTCACTATTACCTTTCCAATGACCTTTTTTATACATTTCCCAAAATTTTTTCAAAAAGTTTGTAGTCTGCACACATGATGATATCATCCGTAATCTCTCACTGTGCACTGACTTTCACCCTTTTGGCACCAAAACTACTAGTGCTGTCGCCTGCAAAGGTCCCAACGCACCCCTCTCTTTTATGTATATTAAATAATTGCACCAAAAAATCTTTTAATACTCCCCAATGCTGTATGTAAAACTCCGCAGGCAGCCCATCTATCCCCGGTGCCTTACCCCTGCTCATACTCATAAAGCCGTCCACACCTCGTCCTCCACAATAGGCCCCTGTAACTGTTCCCTGTCGTCCCTGTCCAGCACACTCCGCACCCATCCCCCTGTCTCTCTTAAAGCCCCCTCTTCCTCACACCCACACTCCTCATATGTGCACTAAAGCCAAGAATCAACATACCCTCCCATCCCCTCCGTTGTCACCAAGTCTTGTCCTCCCTATACCCCTCGATGTCCTCAAGAACTCTCAAACCCACCATTTCCATTGCAACGCGCCGGCGCCCCTGCCTCTCGCAGGACACACGCCGATGGTCTATCACCCCACATGACCCTCCTCCAACCCCCCTAAAACCCTTGCCGCATCAAACCTCTCATTTTGCACTTCCATTAAGCGTTCCTTCACTCCTTGTATTTCAGCCACAGGGGCTCCCATCCCCCCCCTTCCTCTCTCATAATACTCCCTTAACTGCCCCTCAGATACCTAATAAGCCCATAAGCCAACTGATTCTCGTGCTTCCCTGTCGGACATAGAACTCTCGAATCCTCGTCTTCGCCGTCACATCCCACATCTCAACACATCCCCATTGACTTTCCATCCCTTCCCATAAGCCTTTCCACCATTGTGCAAATAGGACCCTCCCCTCAACATCTTGAAGCAACCGAACATTCAATTTCCAATAACTCTTATACCTGTTCGTGCCGACCCTCCCATCCCAATCCACCAAAACACCTCTATGATCAGAAAAAAAGACATCCAAAACCCTTACACTCCGCACCACAGCTTTCCTGTCACGTATATCCTGTCCAGCCGTGCAGCATACCCCTGCCTCACAAAGGTGTGCTGCACCTCCACGCCGCCCCCCCCTCTACATCCACCAACCCCACCCCTGTTAACAGGTCCCTCAGAACGCCAGAACAATATCCTGCTCCCCTAGGTTCCACATCCTTGCGGCGTATAACGCAATTCCAGTCCCCTCCCACCACAGCTAATGCTGGAAGCGGACCTTAAGTGATACACCAACACTTCACGTACAAACTCATTCTTCACTCGACTGTCCCCCTCCGCCGACCATAAACACACACAAAAGACATCTTATCTCTTCCCCATGTCCCATCCACTCTTATAACCCTCCCCTCACCCCCCTCTCACAATGATGTACAGTAAACGGGCTAGCCTCCCTCACCAAAATAGCCACTCCTCCTTTCAATCTCGTTGAGTGTGCCGCATATACAGTATACCCCTCAATCATCAACATACAACCCGGCTTGTGGTTGTGCTCTTGCACAAACACTACATCACACCATACCTAATGAGCATCTCATGAAACCATTCACACTTCCTAGAATTTTTTCAGACCATTAACATTTATAGAGAGACTCTTGAATTGTCAATGGAGGTTTTCCTTTACGTATTGCACCACCTTTATCCCCCTTCCCCTTTATAGCCCTTGATCTTCAATCACCATTCTGTGATCTGCTTTCACATGCCCCTTGCCCCTGGACCCCCCAGGTCCATGCTCAACCACTTCAGCCCAAACCTTTTTGCCCGAACGCTGTGCCGGAGTGAGCACATCCACATCGTCCACGTCCGAGGGCACTGCCGCTCTCTTCCGCGACACTCGAGCCTTTCTTCCCGCCTCCACCTGGAAGCCATCCCCGTGCACTTCCGCCACCACTGTGCCAATTTGCAACCCAGCCTCAACCTGGGTCTCTGACATGCCTCCCCCCCTCTCACCACCTGGAACCCCAGCAGCATCCAGGGCACCCACAAGCCCCTCAACTGTGACCTCTCCTGGGGTCCCTAACAGGTCGTGGAGGACTGAATCAATGGTAGCCTCCACGGCCCTGTCCTCACCCAGTGACACCACAATCTTTGGTTGCCGGTGCCTGCCCGGTAGTGCATGTCTCTCTCGGAAGAGTTACACACTCTTCCTCCCTCAAGGCCTCCTCGACCTCCACACTCCAAGCCTTGTTTCAAGGAAACCGACTCAGGTCGTGCCAAATCCAACGTCCCAGGTCCTCTGATGCCTCCTTATGCTGCTCCTTCGCCTGTGTACCCTGTTGCTTAACACACTGCGCAGCAATGTGATCATATGCACCACATAATCGACAGGTACGTTGTTGCCCTGCGTAAGTCACCATTACCTGAGTCCTGAAGTCTTCTAGGAAAATATAGGAAGGAATAGGATGCCTCAATGTCATTTTTAAGGAAAAACTTCCTTCAGGCATCCCATAATATGATCCCTTCCTCATTTCCCCAATGTCGCCATATGAACAGTCCCAAACTTCTCGAAGACGGCACGTAGGTCTGCCTCATTAGCCTCAAGGGTACATTTTTTATCTTCACCCACGTATAATGGCGGGACACATCATGTAGCCTTACCGTCACTGCAGGATTCACTGGTACAACCAAAGATCTTGGAACCTGGCGACTATGTCCTCATATACACTTGCATTGAGAAATTTCACAAAAATTCTATATGCCCCGTTCAAGGCTACACCATACAGCTCTTCGTTGGCAATGCCGTATGTGTCCCTGATGATGGCAGGTAATAAAACTTGAGCTGAGTGGGCATGCACAGCCCCACGCACCACTTCAATGCCGACAGTGTTTACCCTTCTTCTTGCCGGCTGCGCCATTTTGAGAAAACCAAGTTGTCACCGGCTGACAGCAGAGGGCAGGCTCAGCTCACGTCCGCTCGTCCCAAAGGTTGAGCGACGAATGAGTTAGGGGAATTACCAATAAACCCCTGGCTGCCTTCAAGAGAGAGCTGGACAGATACCTAAAGTCAGTGCCGGATCAGCCGGGCTGTGGCTCGTACGTTGGACTGCGTGCGGCCAGCAGTAACAGCCTAGTTGATCAGGCCCTGATCCTTCGGGAGGCCTGGTCATGGACCGGGCCGCGGGGGCGTTGATCCCCGGAATAACCTCCAGGTAACACCAGTAACAGATTTATACCAACAGTGCTAAACCCGTATGTCATACCGGGGGAATGGGCGGTAATAAAAATTTTATCAGAGGAAATGGTACCTCCAATTCTTTGGATCAAGAGCCTCTCACCGTCACCAAGGTTTTCTTTCCTTTTAAATAAAGGGGGGGGGGTAACAAATGAAGACCAAATTCTTAAAAAAGAAAAATTCTAATGATAGGATAGCCCTACTTGGTCATATATTTTTTTCAATACATACCATGAGATGACAGTGCTGGTACTGGAGGGGAACTTGCAGTCTGAGGCGAAGACATTTACTGGAAAACAAAGAAATGGATGTTGGTTTCCATTCGAAACCGAAAAAAAAATAATTTATCACTAATTTTAAGATGTTTTTTGTATGGTTATTACTTCAGATAAATGTACAGTGTGTATGCTACAATGAAAAGTGTTGTTAACTGCAAAACTAATAACTTGCAGGAATTTTGCAAAAATAATGCTTACCAAGGCTGCAGCTTCCCGCCCGCCATATTGTCGTGTCGGCGCCTGAGGCGGGAAATTGCCAGGGCTTCCTCACTCTCTCCAACACTATGACGTAGTCTCTGTGCACTCTGATTAGCTGAGCATCAATGACGTAATGTCTTTAGCACCAATTCGGGCATTAATTGGCTGCTTATTCCCGCCAGAGAAACAAATTGATCGCTCATTGGCTGTGGCCAGAACTATGAAATGCATACTCCTCCTGAAGAAAGGCTCTTCATCCAAGGAATCTGAGCTACTCTTCCCTTCCTCCGATCAAACATGATTACCTCCCATTTTTTCCTGTATGATCCCTATGAAATTAACGCTAAATAATTTTTTGGCTGATTTTTATTTTTTGATCGGGGGAGCTTCTCCTTGTATCTTAAAATCCTAATATATTTATCTTATTTATTTTATTTCCCCATATACTGAACAGTTAACATTATTATTAACTAGTAATAATAATAATTATTATTATTATTATTATTATTATTATTTTATAGGGAATGTCTAACCCGTAGGGACCATAAAGTACCTGGGAAATGGGAATTAGGTCTGATCCAAGGAAGTGGAGGATGCCATAGTTATGTCTGTGGTATTCCTTTAATTTACATGTAGGATTGTGGTGGGAAGCTGTTGATCAAGCAGGTTGTGGCTACCAGTGGCCCGCAGCCATCACAGCCCTAGGTTAGAGTGAGGGAATTGTGAGATACCAAGACTAGGGCCCATACCCCCCGCCTTGAAACTAGGGCCCCACCTTCTCTTCCTTGAAATTAGGGGCCCTTACCTTGCCTTCCTTGAAACTAGGGGCCCCACCTTCCCTTCCTTGAAACTAGGGGCCCCACCTTCCCTTCCTTGAAACTAGGGGCCCCACCTTTCCATCCTTGCAGCTAGGGGTTCCATCTTCCCTTCCATGAAACTAGGGGCCCCACCTTCCCTTCCTTGAAACTAGGGCCCCACCTTCCCTTCCTTGAAACTAGAGCCCAACCTTCCCTTCCTTGAATCTAGGGGCGCCCACCTTCCCTTCCTTAAAACTAAGGGGCCCCACCTTGAAACTATGACCCCCATCTTCGAACTAGGGCCCCACTTCCCCATCTGGAAATTAGGAGGGCGCTCCTGAAGCTAGGGGGCCCCTCCTGAAACTAGGGGGCCCCTCCTGAAACAAGGGAGCCCCTCCTGAAACTAAGGGGCCCCTCCTGAAACTAGGGGGCCCCTCCTGAAACAAGGGAGCCCCTCCTGAAACTAAGGGGCCCCTCCTGAAACTAGGGGCCCCTCCTGGAACTAGGGGGCCCCTCCTGAAACAAGGGCGCGCCTCCTGAAACTAAGGGGCCCTTCCTGGAACTAGGGGGCCCCTGGAACTAAGGGCCCTTCCTGAAACTAGGGGGCCCCTCCTGAAACTAGGGGGCCCCTCCTGAAACTAGAGGGCAACTCCTGAAACTAGGGAGCCCCTCCTGAAACTAGGTGGCCCCTCCTGAAACTAGGAGGCCCCTCCTGAGACTAGGAGGCCCCTCCTGAAACTAAGGGGCCCCTCCTGAAACTAGGAGGCCCCTCCTGAAACTAAGGGGCCCCTCCTGAAACTAGGTGGCCCCTCCTGAAACTAGGGGGCCCCTCCTGAAACTAGGGGGCCCCTCCTGAAACTAGGGGACCCCTCCTGAAACTAGGGGGCCCCTCCTGAAACTAAGGGGCCCCTTCTGAAACTAGGGGCCCCTCCTGGAACTTGGGGGCCCCTCCAGGAACTAGGGGGCCCTTCCTGAAACTAGGGGGCCCCTCCTGAGACTAGGGGGCCCCTCCTGAAACTAAGGGGCCCCTCCTGAAACTAGGGGGCCCCTCCTGAAACTAAGGGGCCCCTCCTGAAACTAGGTGGCCCCTCCTGAAACTAGGGGGCCCCTCCTGAAACTAGGGGGCCCCTCCTGAAACTAGGGGGCCCCTCCTGAAACTAGGGGGCCCCTCCTGAAACTAGGGGGCCCCTCCTGAAACTAAGGGGCCCCTCCTGAAACTAGGGGGCCCTCCAGGAACTAGGGGGCCCCTCCAGGAACTAGGTGGCCCCTCCAGGAACTAGGTGGGATATACACCTCACAGTATATTTACTGAGATATACATCAGTGTGCATATACTGTGGGATACACACCTCGTTATGTATACACATACCGAGATATACACACCTCCAAATGTATATGCTAAGATATATGCACTTCCAAATGTATATATACTGGAATATATATGCAAAATCAAGTGCTTGCATAAGGGAATATATACTGTGGGATGCACACCACATATATACACACTGAGATATATACACCTCCAAATGTATATTCACACATATATATACGTGTATATATACTGTGGCATACACATCTTGTCGCATATATGTGATATATACACCTTCAAATGTATATACACTGAGATACATATATACACTCCAAGTGTATATACACTGTTACTCTCAGTATATATACATCAAGATACATATAGTCATAAGAATATATGTAAAAATGTTGATTTTAGTGCAGATTGCTTCTATAATACATAATTTAGGCTACATATATATAATAAATGATCATTTTGATATAGTTTATGCTCCAGGGTAATAATATATTAATAAAGTATATATGATGATGCCTGAAAATGATCAGGATTTGAAAAAAAATGTATATATATATACTAGGCTAGCAGGACCCCCCTCCCCAACAAAATGGTAAAAAAAATCAAAATTATGTTTCATGGGGAAGCGCTAAGGCAGTAGGGGGTCTGACAGATCCTGGGGGGGAATGGGAGGTGAATAGTTTTGATGTGAGGAACGGGAAAGGCCGCTCCATTTCCTCGGATCAAGAGCCCTTCACCAGCCTTATGTCGACCCTTATTTTAGGGAATATATGGCTATTCAGTCGTAAATATATAATTACTGTAATTTAATGCAAATATAACGTCTCAAATTGAAATATTTGCATTACATTTTCTTTATTTACTAAATAACTGTTCGTAGAGATGTATGGAAGTTGGTTTCTTGTTTTTATTTTTACCTGACAGAATTTCTTTGTATGGGCAGACATTTTTTGTCATTTAATAAGAGAAACGCTTAGCATTGACGTGCCGCTACCAATCAAAATTCAGTAAACTTTTCTGGCGCGAAGACCCAGCTAATTAAAACCCGAGTTTAATTGAGGGTGTTGATAAATAGAAGAGCACGATCCAGCAGCCAATTACCATTAATTACGTCACTGGTGATTAGCAAATCAGCGTGAACAATGACGTCACCGATGTCATCCTGGAGGCTCCTCAGGAGCGCGCGCCCTTCCTCGCCCTCAGTCGCGTCCTGCAGAAAATGGCGTGAGGGTGCACGCTCCTTTGGTAAGCAATTTCTTCAAACTTTCCTAAAAATAACTGGCTATTATCGGTTAACAATGTTTATTACAATGTCGCGTGTACGTGGGTTTATATCTGATGCTGTATATCTGTAAAATATGTAGGAAATGTAACATTTAAGCATTTTTCTCCATAAATGTAAGCCATGACACCATTATTTTCTTTACAGTAACTGCTGACCCTCCTAAACCTGATGTCAACTGCAGCATCACCTGAGGTAACTATGAATGTGATATTGCAAATGATATTAAACCATTTTTTTTTTTAGTTTAGAAAACCCGTCGCTTACAAATGGCCACCCTGTTTAAGGGGATTTATTTCGGTGACTGAAATACTTATCATCTATGATTGCTACGTGGTTAACACGTGTATTAATAACTCAGTACTGGTGTTATGCTATTAGTAACTCAATACTGGTGTATGCTATTAGTAACTCAGTACTGGTGTATGCTATTAGTAACTCAATACTGGTGTATGCTATTAGTAACTCAGTACTGGTGTTATGCTATTAGTAACTCAATACTGGTGTATGCTATTAACTCAATACTGGTGTATGCTATTAATAACTCAATACTGGTGTATGCTATTAATAACTCAATACTGGTGTATGCTATTAACTCAATACTGGTGTATGCTATTAATAACTCAATACTGGTGTATGCTATTCATATCTGAATACCGGTGTATGCTATTCATAATACTGGTGTATGCTATTCATAACTGACTAAAGGAGTATGCCCCTCATGGAAGGTTCCTTGAAGTTGGTGAGGGGCTCTTGATTTAGAGAATTGGATCTGTGCTCCAGTTCCCCGAATTAAACCTGAATGCCTTCCACATCCCCCCGGCGCTGTATAATCCTACGGGTTTAGCGCTTCCCCTTTATTATAATACTGGAGTATGCTATTCATTACTGGAGTATGTTATTCATTACTGGAGTATGCTATTCATAACTACTTGTGTATGCTATTCATAACTGACTACTGGTGTATGCTATTCATAACTACTGGTCTATGCTATTCATAACTAGTGTATGCTATTCATTACTGGTGTATGCTATTCATAACCGGTGTATGCTATTCATAACCGGTGTATGCTATACATAACTACCGGTTTATGCTATTCATAACTGCTCTTCATATCTATGCTATTCCTGACTACCGGTATGTTGTAATTGACTACTGGTGTAATCAGACCTCATTAATGGAATGGTGCCTTGTTGATGGTGAACAAAAGTATTCGAGTAGCTTAGGCATTAAAACCCCTCCAGGTTTGCCATTTCCCCCATTGTTTGGCAACCGGTATCAAGAGGGGTACCTTGATATTGACGGATTCTTTATCCAAGGCATTGGTTACCCAGGCCCTTGTGGTTTAGTGCTTCTTTATTATAATAATTGGTTACCCAGGCACTGACCCCCTCCAGGTTTACCACCCCATATTTTGTAGTTGTCAAGGGGATGTGCTTTGAAGGTTTTTTATTTTTGAAGGAGTCATCCAGACATCATGACTCCTTCGGGTTGAGCAATTCTCCATTATTTCTGTTTTGTAATATTCGGGTTGAGCAATTCCCCATTATTTCTGTTTTGTAATCGGGTTGAGCAATTCCCCATTATTTCTGTTTTGTAATATTCGGGTTGAGCAATTCCCCATTATTTCTGTTTTGTAATCGGGTTGAGCAATTCCCCATTATTTTGTTTGTAATATTCGGGTTGAGCAATTCCCCATTATTTCTGTTTTGTAATCGGGTTGAGCAATTCCCCATTATTTCTGTTTTGTAATATTCGGGTTGAGCAATTCCCCATTATTTCTGTTTTGTAATATTCGGGTTGAGCAATTCCCCATTATTTCTGTTTTGTAATATTCGGGTTGAGCAATTCCCCATTATTTGTTTTGTAATCGGGTTGAGCAATTCCCCATTATTTTTGTTTTGTAATATTCGGGTTGAGCAATTCCCCATTATTTCTGTTTTGTAATCGGGTTGAGCAATTCCCCATTATTTCTGTTTTGTAATATTCGGGTTGAGCAATTCCCCATTATTTCTGTTTTGTAATAGGTAATTGAGTTAGTGAGTAGCGAGAATTACAGTTGAAAATGTGATTTGGTTTCAAAAGGCACAAGAAAGCACTAGGGTATATTAGATAACGTTTTGGTCCTGGGAGTTGCCACAGGTCTGCCGAAATGTCTTCAATGTTTGCTCACATCTTATTAAAACATTTAACGGTAACAATTACCAAGGTTTATGCCCAATGTCAATTATTGGTTGAAGTTTTGTAATTGAAATAGTTTTTTGTTTAAATATGAAATTAAAAAATATCTCTGGCAACCTAATGTAACGTACCGTAATTCACCTCGGCTCAACCTAACCAAGTAATCAAGTACATGTGTATTACAATTCTCTTTTTCGAAAAGTTGCAAATTTGTTTTTCAAATATAACATGAATTACATTTACTAGGTCTTGGTCTTTGTTTTAATATTGCAACTGGTGTATCATTGGGACTTTCCAAGTCAGTTATCACTACTAGCACTGCCAGCCATCTGACAATTACTAGTAGCCGCGTTAAGGGAGGTTCCTAGATCCAAGGTATTTGACTTTTCCTCTACTTTTCCTGGAGTGAACCTGATTACCTCATTCCCCAGATGCTGAATAGCTCCTACTGGTTTAACACTTTCAGCTGTTTTTACCTGGAACCCTTCTGGCGTGTAAATAAATTAATCCTTTATTTTTTTGTACTGTTTTCTGACGATGTAATTAATTTGTTTATGATAAAACGAATCGACCGAAATATTAACTTAAATTTAAAAACACCCTCCGATGAGAGGGGGGGGGGGTTGTTACCTTGAAGGGTTTTTAATCTCGGGAATTATAACTAGTCTCTTCCTTGGATTAAAGGTGATCGGATTTGCCAATGCCCAAGCGCTGTATAACTCCTAACGAATTTAACGCTTCCTCGTACTAACATTTCGAGCTACTGAGCTCCAAATTTAACGCTTCCTCATACATTGAGCTTCAAATTTAACGCTTCCTCATACATTGAGCTCCAAGTTTAACGCTTCCTCATACATTCTGAGCTCCAAATTTAACGCTTCCTCATACCTCATACATTGAGCTCCAAATTTAACGATTCCTCATACATTGAGCTCCAAATTTAACGATTCCTCACACTTAACATTTCGAGCTACTGAGCTCCGGGGTTGCACACTCTGGAAATTGCTCTGGATAAATAAGTATTGAAAGGGAATTTCATACATGGATTTATGTAGTATTTTCGTGGGGATCCATAAATATTTTTGACGGCAATAACAGTATGTAGTGAGCCCGTAAATACCCAAGATGTGTAAATAGGTGCGATGCGGTATAGATAATATGCAAGTGTCATAAAGGTACATACCGTGACTAGTGATACACAAATAACTTCTAGAATTGTCTCCCTGTATATATACCGAGAGTATTTTAATGCTTAGTTTAAAAATTAGTCTTGATTGGTAGTGAGCAGGTTACATGCAGTCGATAGGCTTGAAATCCATTGCCTTTAAGGGACCTTGATGCCGGTGTGGGGCTCTTGGTCCAAGGAACTGAACTTTTCGTCCCCTTTGCCTCCCATTGTCCATGAACTATGACCCCTCCAGGTTTAGCGCATTCCCCTAGTAAACTTCATTAATAAGCATTACTTAAGAAAGCGAGCCACTGCTGTAACGTGTAAAAAGTGCTCTAGGAATTTAAAATTTGTACAGGTTAGTTTGAAAGTGGTGTTACTACACGATTGGTGAGGGGCTCTTAATCTAGGAACGCAGCACTATGTCCCTTGTGGTTTAGTGCTTTTTTGATTATAATAATTAGGAACTTGGATCTGTGTCCTAGTTCATTGAATTGAGCTGGAGTACCTTCCACCCCCCCCCCACACATGTATAATCCTACGGGTTTAGCGTTCTTCCATGATTATAATTACAATTGTTGGTTCAAATAGGTATCTTAACGTCTGGTACCACGGAATTCGTTGATCTTGTCAGTCTGTAAGCTGACATTTTAAGGATATAAATGTATTTTTAATTGGAACAACATTTTATAAACTATTGGTTGCTATGGATGCCAGTCCACAGTGGGAGGGGAGGCCTCTGAAGCATTATCTTTGAATCAAACCTACTTACCTCCCATTCCCCAGGTTATGTACGTATATACCTGTACAGGTTTAGCACTTTCCCACTATTATTATGACTACCTGTGTTATGCACTCTTATCAAGGAGGGAGTGCCTAGATGCAGTTAAAGTATACCGATCCAAAGAATGGGAGTTGCCCATGCATTATATGACCCCTACAAATTTAACACTTCATAATATTCTGGCTGTTGGTTTCGTAGACCCCACCAAGGGGAAGCTTTGATGCTGGTGAAGTGTTTTTGGATCCAAGGAATTGGCACACCCAAGCTTTATGGCTTGCACATCCTGGGGAAAATTCTCATAAACGGTGAAGGGATAGGAAATGACAGCTATTTTTTCACCAATAACATCGGTACACACGTAAGAGAAACAAAAGGTGCCAGTAAGTGTAATACTCGAGCGGTAAAACAAAATCGCTAATTACAAAGCATTTTGCGCTTATAGGTTGTAGAATAGGCGCACGGCGCAGAGAACATAAGGGGGTGATTCACAGCTCCTGGCCCCGCCTCTTCGCTGGTCGCTACTAAGTCCACTCTCCCTGCTTCCTGAGCTTATTGTATCATATATATCCTAATGTATTTAAACAAGCAGTGTATATAAATATATATATATATATATATATATATATATATATATATATATATATATATATATATATATATATATATATAATCAGTTAACTTTTGACGTTTAAGTATTATGTATCTGGTGGTGAGCAAGTTACATGCAGCCTCCATGACACTTGTGTGTATAGTCAGTTGGAGTGAAGAGTTTACTTCCTCAGAAGGTGACTTTAAAATATTTTAACTAAATTTACTAAATTGTCTTATTTTCATGGGTACCTTTGAAATTTTAATTGTTGTAATGCTAATCTTCTAAAATTCAACTTCTCAGTTCAGACTATATTTTGTGGTTAATTTTCATGGGTACCTTTGAAATTTTAATTGTTGTAATGCTAATCTTCTAAAATTCAACTTCTCAGTTCAGACTATATTTTGTGGTTAAAATACCCTATGATTCTTTACATTATTTTTAAGGTCATGATGGTGCTGGTGGTGGAAGAAAGGGCTTCTAGTTCATTTATTCTGGTGGAACATCCCACCCTCATTTTAATATGAATAGTTCTTGATCCAAGGACTTTGAGCTAACAGCCATTAGATCAAACTAGATTACTTCCCATTACCCAGGTGCTGTGCCTTGTATAGGTTTAAAACTTTATGCTATTAATATTTTCATTCCTGTATCCACTGTCAAACTCATGTATGTTGTTTACACATTAATAATTTATTTAAAATGTGTTGATTGCAGGAATTTAACGGATTATTTTTCTTTCCAGATAGTTTCGTTTTGACTGCTTATCTCCAGGATAATGTCAGCGGTAACTTTACAGGATCATTTACATAATTTTGGGCAAGTAATTAAAAGTTTTAAGGAAAGGTGAGGTAAGTTTTTTGCAAATGTTACTTGCCATGTAGTGAACCCCAATGTATATTGATTTTCTGGTGTATATTAAACTTAATTTATCAGCTTAATTCCATAACTGGAAGTTTGAATATTGTACTATGTATAACACAATTGGAATTTTGTACCTAATATACAGTTGTGCTGGGTTGCCCTCATCCCAAGCATTGGCGAATTATGAGTACATGCAATTGTTGCAATTATATATACTATATAAAATTTGTTCATATTTATTCATTAATTATGTTGAGTTTTAAGTGAGCATTTGTTCTGTTTGTGATATTTTATTAAATGGAGTTGTGCAACTCCTCACATCTTGGAACCAGTGGGTAACTGCCCTATTTTGGTCTTAGGTAATATTCCATACACTAGTTAAGGGCCTTCCGTCCTGGCAACTCTAGGGGTCTGCCTCCCTGGGAACTCCAGGGCCTGTCGCCCTGGCAACACCAGGGCCTGCCTGTCCTGGGAACTCCAGGGCGGGCCTTGCCTGCCCGCCCTGGCAACACCAGGGCCTGGCCTGCCCGCCCTGGCAACTCCAGGGCCTGGCCTGCCCGCCCTGGCAACTCCAGGGCCTGGCCTGCCTGCCCTGGCAACACCAGGGCCTGGCCTGCCTGCCCTGGCAACACCAGGGCCTGGCCTGCCTGCCCTGGCAACACCAGGGCCTGGTCTGCCTGCCCTGCCTACACCAGGGCCTGCCCACCCTGACCTAATTCACCTTGTAATTAAAATGTTTTACAGTACTTTATCCAAATTATTTGAATGGTTTTTCAGTTTTACTTGTATAAAAAAATCTGAATTATATTTCTGATTATTTTTTCTTGTACTACCAAATATTTTATTTGCAACTCGAATGTTGTTTGTTCAGATAAAAAAAAAATAGCAATATTTTCACCAGTTTTTCAGCCAGTTTGTTGTCAGTTTAATAATTGTCCCTCAGTCCAAAAATGTTATATTTTCAACCTGACTGTGGTTAAATATATGGTATAGCCTTATTTTTTTAGTGAATGTTTTCATTTCGAAAATTCTTTTTCAGATAATTTTTTGTTTTCATTATAATGTTTTTCAGTTTTAATATTTTTTTCAGCATGTTTTTTTCTTGTAATGTTTTTCAGATAAATTCTAAAAAAAATTTCAGCCTAATCATTTTTTCAGCTAATATTTTAAATCTTATTAATTTTTTCAACTTTTTCAGCCTAATCATTTTTTTCATCTAATGTTTTTCAACCAGATTTTCATGTTTTTCAGCTAATTTTCAGCCTAATAATTTTTTGGCTCTTTCTCAGCCTAATATTTTTTTCAGCATAATTTTTTCAGCTAATGTTTTTCAGCTTAATTTTTTTCAGCATAACATTTTTTCAGCTAATGTTTTTCAGCTTAATTTTTTTCAGCATAACGTTTTTTCAGCTAATGTTTTTCAGCCTAATAATTTTTTCAGCATAATGTTTTTTCAGCTAATGTTTTTCAGCCTAATAATTTTTTAAGCATAATGTTTTTTCAGCTAATGTTTTTCAGCCTAATAATTTTTTCAGCATAATGTTTTTTCAGCTAATGTTTTTCAGCCTAATAATTTTTTCAGCATAATGTTTTTTCAGCTAATGTTTTTCAGCTTAATTTTTTTCAGCATAACGTTTTTTCAGCTAATGTTTTTCAGCCTAATAATTTTTTCAGCATAATGTTTTTTCAGCTAATGTTTTTCAGCTTAATGTTTTTTCAGCTAATGTTTTTCAGCATAATTTTTTTCAGCATGTTTTTTCAGCTAATATTTTCAGCCTAATTTTTTCAGCATAATGATTTTTCAGATAATGTTTTTCAATCTAATAATTTTTTCAGTATGTTTTTTCAGCCTAATAATTTTTTTAGCATGTTTTTTCAGCTAATATTTTTCAGCCTAATAATTTTTTCATGCTTTTCAGTCATAATTTTTTCAGCCTAATGTATATTTTTCATGTTATTCACTCATAATTTTTTAATGTTTTTCAGTCAGATTTTCCACTAATAATTTTTTCAGCCTAATTTCTCAACTCTGTGTTTTCAATGCAACTTTTACCTTTCCATACAAATATTTTTCAGCCGAACTATTTTTTTTCAGTGATAGTTTTTTCCATGTAATTTTTTTTTTTTTTTTTTTTTTTTTTTTTTTTTTTTTTTTTTTTTTTTCATGGCTTAAGTTTTTAAGCTAAATGTTCTTTACATATAATGTTTTTCAGCCTAATAATTCTTTCAGTGAATTTTTTTTTTACATGAAATGTTTTTCAACATAGTAATTTTTTTTCCAGCTAAGTGGTTCTTTTTTCCATTGAAGGGTTCTCAGTTTTTTTTTTTTTTTTTTTTTTTTTTTTTAATGGGCTTTTTTTTTTCCATGTAGTATTCTTCAGCCTAATATTTTTTTCAGCCAAATGTTTTTTCCATGTAATGCTTTTCAGTCTAAAAGTTTTTAAGCTTTTTTTTTCCTGTAATTTTTTCCTTCACCCTCCCCCCCCCCACCCCCAAACCACCACCAACCCCACCACCACCACCCCCACCACCACCACCACCACTCCCCCCCCCCCACCACCACCACCACCCCCACCACCACCCCCACCACCACCCCCCCCCCACCCCCCACCACCACCCCCACCACCACCCCACCACCACCCCCACCACCCCCCACCACCACCCCCACCATCACCACCACCATCACCAATATTTTCTTATGGTATAGCCTAATTTTTATTTTTCAACAAAATGTTTGACTAATGCTTTTTAAAGGAAATATGTGGATTACTAGTATTTCAGATAAAACTTAGCTAGAATTTTAAATGACATTCAAGGTATGTAGAAGGAAATTTAAAGAACATAGGAAAGAGCAAGGTGATGAGGGTAAAAAAGGAATTAGGTAATGAAATATTGCACATTAGATTGGAAGTAGGGAATATGGACAAGTGAAGGCGTTCAGATATTTGGGAGTGGACTTATCGGCAGACGGATATATGAAAGACGAGATGAGCCACAGAAGTGATGAAGGAAAAGAGATGGGAGATGCATTGAGGCATCTGTGAAGACAAAATGAGAATGTATGAAAGTATAGTGGTACAAATATATTTTTATGAGTGTAAGCTTGGGTAGTGAATGTTGCAGTGAGGAGGAGTTTGGAGGCAGTGGAGAGGCCATGTCTGAGGACAATCCATGGTGTAAATATAATGCCGAGAATTCGTAGTTTAGTTAGGATGTGCGGAGTTACTAAAAGGATTATCCAGAGGGCTAAGGAGAGGTGCTCTAGATATTTAGAGAAGATGGAGCAAAATAGGATGACTTGGAGGATGCATAAATCTGCAGTGGAGGGAAGGCTGGGTAAGAGTCACTGAGGGAAAGGAGGGAGGGTAAAGGAAGTTTTGTGTGCCACTGGGCTTGAACATCCAGCAGGCATGTGTGAATATGTTCGGAGTGGAGGCAAATGGTTTTCGGGAGCTGCTGGAGTGTGAGCAAGGTAATATTTTGTGAAGGGATGCAGGGATACCGGTTAGCTGGACTTTGGACTTTGAGTCGCAGTGTTGAGAAGTAGTGCCTGGACTTTAGAGGGGTGGGGATGCTTGCAGTTTGGAGGGGTATCTGAACTGTATATGCACCTCTTGGCAAGACAGTGATAGGGAATGGTGAAAGTTTATATTTTGGGGTCTCACTACCTCGGTGGGAGACATGTATGTGTGGGTGGGTGTAACTTGGACTTGCCAAGCATGAGACGGTAGGCTTGCTGTAGTTCTTTCTAATGTTCTTGTTCTCTGCAAGTTATTTAGGCTGCAACTTACCTGGAGGTTATTCCGGGGATCAACGCCCCCGCGGCCCGGTCCATGACCAGGCCTCCCGATGGATCAGGGCCTGATCAACTAGGCTGTTACTGCTGGCCGCACGCAGTCCAACGTACGAGCCACAGCCCGGCTGATCCGGCACTGCCTTTAGGTATCTGTCCAGCTCTCTCTTGAAGGCAGCCAGGGGTTTATTGGCAATTCCCCTAATGCTTGATGGGAGGCTGTTGAACAGTTTTGGGCCCCGGACACTTATGGTGTTTTCTCTTAGTGTACCAATGGCGCCCCTACTTTTTATTGGCGGCATTTTGCATCGCCTGCCCAGTCTTTACTTTCGTAGGGAGTGATTTCTGTGTGCAGATTTGGGACCATTCCTTCCAAGATTTTCCAAGTGTAGATTATGATATATCTCTCCCTCCTGCGTTCCAACGAGTACAAGTCAAGTGCTTCCAAGCGTTCCCAGTAGTTAAGGTGCTTGACAGAACTTATACGTGCAGTAAAGGATCTCTGTACACTCTCTAGATCTGCGATTTCACCTGCTTTGAATGGAGATGTTAATGTACAGCAGTATTCCAGCCTAGAGAGAACAAGTGATTTGAAAAGGATCATCATGGGCTTGGCATCTCTCGTTTTGAAAGTTCTCATTATCCATCCTATCATTTTCTTTGCACGTGCGATCGTGGCACTGTTGTGATCCTTGAAAGTGAGATCCTCAGACATTACTACTCCCAGGTCCCTTACATTATTTTTCCGCTCTATTGTATGGCCGGAGTCAGTAGTATACTCTGTTCTAGTTATTATCTCCTCCAGTTTTCCATAACGGAGTAGTTGGAATTTGTCCTCATTGAACATCATATTGTTTACCGTTGCCCACTGGAAAACTTTGTTTATATCTTCTTGGAGGTTAACCGCGTCCTCAGCAGATGACAGCCTCATGCAGATCCTAGTATCATCCGCAAAGGATGATACGGTGCTGTGGTGTATATCTCTATTTATGTCTGATATGAGGATAAGGAATAAGATGGGGGTGAGTACTGTGCCTTGTGGAACAGAGCTCTTCACTATGGCAGCCTCCGATTTAACTCTGTTGACCACTACTCTTTGTGTTCGATTTGTTAGGAAGTTGAAGATCCATCTCCCCACTTTCCCAGTTATTCCTTTAGCACGTATTTTATGGGCTATTACGCCATGATCGCATTTGTCAAATGCTTTTGCAAAGTCTGTGTATATTACATCTGCATTCTGATTTTCTTCCAGTGCATCCAAGGCCATGTCATAGTGATCCAGTAGTTGTGAGAGGCAGGAGCGACCTGCCCTGAACCCATGTTGCCCTGGATTGTGCAGATTTTGGGAATCCAGGTGATTTGCAATCCTGCTTCTTAGCACTCTTTCAAAGATTTTTATGATGTGGGACGTCAGAGCTATTGGTCTATAGTTCTTAGCTAATGCTTTGCTGCCACCTTTATGGAGTGGGGCTATATCCATTGTTTTAAGTGACTGTGGAATTTCACCCATGTCCAAGCTCCTCCTCCATAGTGTACTTAGGGCACGCGAGAGGGGTTTCTTGCAGTTCTTAATGAAAACAGAGTTCCACGAGTCTGGGCCCGGGGCTGAGTGCATAGGCATGTTGTCAATGGCTTTTTCGAAATCTATCGGAGTTAGGGTAATGTCGGAAATCTGGCATACATTTATGGAGTTTTGAGGCTCATTCATGAAGAAATCATTTGGGTCGTCGATCCTCAGACCGATTAGTGGTTCACTAAACACAGAGTCGTACTGGGATTTCAATATTTCACTCATTTCCTTGTTGTCGTCTGTGTAAGTCCCATCCTATCTGAGTAAGGGCCCGATACTAGATGTGGTATTTGCCTTGTTTTTGGCATGTGAAAAATATTTTGAATTTCTTTCAATTTCACTAATAGCTTTAAGCTCCTGCCTCTCCATGTACAGGTTTGCCTAATAAACCCCACTAGAAATTCCTAACTCATGTGAGTCATTCAGTTTAGAATTGGCAGAGCTTTGATCTCTACTAATCATGAGGTAAAGTGTATTATCTAATTATTATAGATATAGGAGGCAACTTACAAATAACAGGGATATACATATCCAGATTTACAGTTAGAACTTATTCAGATTTTACTATCAAGTCAGTGCAACTGTGAAACACAGCCAGGCTTTGTACAGATTTTGTTACATAAGTTATTTGCTGACTGAAAAAAACAGAAATGCAGTTGAATTAGATATGAAACTAGGAATAAGTCTTGTCTGCAAATTCTAAAGCTAGAAACTTTAGTCGAAACTGTTAAATCAGGAATGTAAATAAGACTTAACATTTTATTGAAAATGTTTAGCTTGTAGGGAGTTTTGTTGGATCAACAAAAATATCAGGGAGCTTTATTAG